CACATTATTTTCTATGAATTGAAGAATTTTCTTAATTCGAAGGAGAATGAGTGGAATATAAAATGAAACGATATTAAATTCACAGTGGAGTTTCACTAAAATAACTGTAACGCTGTGGTGAATTATTTGAACAAATTATTTCCATAGATCTCGTTTCCCAGAGAACCTACAGCACCGCGGTCCACCTTCAAAAGAAATATTTAGAATCGTTCTTTCGCTAACACGCGGCCGAGAAAACCAAGCGAAGCGTACAGGTAATGTCTTTATTGATTTTAAATTACAATGTTCGCTCGGCGAATGTTATCTCGATAGAAGTCGCCCCGTCATCGCTACTCCCATTTTCCGAGTAGCGTTCGACTAACTTCTTCCTCGAAGACGAACAAGCGCACGCTTCGTTTCGCAACGTGTACATTATGCACTTGAAACCTTCGAACTTCCTTGAAAAAGGAGGATCGCGTAGAACTTTCTACGTTCGTAGACTAAACCGTACACTGAAGCATACCGGTCTCCATTTCCAATTGAAGAACTGTTGATATCGTAGCGGAAATGAAGAAACTTCACGAGTTATGTGGGTTTCCAAGTTATCGAGGCTCGACTGTAGCACTTTTTCCGTGGCTCTCGCACAGACGCTCTCATGAGTGAAGATTTCACGGCGCGGGCAAGGCGCGTGAGCCGGAGACCCTGTATTACCGTAACACCAGGTCTTCGCGGCGGATGGCTCGCCACGGGAGATGGGCTCGACCTATCGATCGTGACGATAACAGATCCGGTCCTTTTGCTACCTATTCACGTGGCAATTTACGAGGCGGCCTATCGTCGACGGTGCGCCGCGCGGATCACGGCGGGAGGACGCGCATTGGGCGAAGCATGCAGGATACGTGTAGAAGTGCGCGCGTTGCCGCGAGGTCCCCGCGCGCGCGGCCGCGATAACGGTCCGCTAAGTAGGTACGTGTTAACGCGACGCGTGATTTCTGTCGTCGATCGGGGACTCCCCTAACCGCGCGCCGAGGGACACGGATCCCGAGGAACGGCGAACACCAGCTGGGATCGCGATACCGGCGTTCAACATGATATCGCTTACCGGTAATACGCGGGAGAGCTGTTGATCACGGCCAGCGCTGTGTTTGCGAGTAATATTTTATTTTCCTCAGCCCAGAGTTAGCTCGTCCGCGTGAAACATTCTCGTGACGCGTCGCGGGTAAATAATACCGGCGTTTAATTTCCTTTTTGCGGAGAGCCGAGGTATTTATCGGCACCTCGAGATCCACGATAGCAACATAACGTGATATTCGGATTAGAATTATTGGACGCTCGTGCGATGAATGCTTCGACGTCATTCTGGGGTGAAATGGAAGCTAGGTTTGTATTTTGGAGGACATTTCGTAGATTGCTTATTTTTTGGAAAGAAGATTTTACGGTATAATGTGTGTCGGAATAGAGATTATCTCAGCACTCCTATACTTGAATTTAATAGATGTATTCGATACGTTTCGAGGATTGATTCCTAAATTTTAAATTGTATCGCGGATAGATAATTCGCGTAAGGATCTATCCGTTATATCCGGAATCCTTTTCATTTCCTTTTGTCCCGCACTTTCATTCGCCCTATCCCAAGCATCAGCGAGGTCGGAGCCGCGGAGATCTACCTTAGCAAACCTCCAGCGCACGATCCTTCCCTCTCACTGCCAATTTCACTCGCAAAGAAGTATACAGTCTGTCTTCGCAACCAGCCCTTTACCAACGATAATTTTCACTCAGTGCCTATCCCAGTCGAAGCGTACGGGTACGGGTCGTGGTAACGGTCCGGCAAAGGAGGAACGTGTTCGCGCGTTGATTTCTGTCGTCGGCGTCGATGGGCCCGCTTAACCCCGTATCCGAGGGACATGGACCAAGCGGGTCCGCTGACAGAATGCGTGTTTCCTGTTTTTCTTCTTCGTCGTGTTCCTCGTCCCTAGAGCACGCTCGCAGAGAGGCTGAGAGAGAGCTGTG